CGAGAGATGACACCTATTATTAAACCTTGGCCGTTCAAAGGTTGGGCGATAGATCTAATAGGGAAGATCTACCCTCCATCGTCCAAGCAACATACTTTTGTTATAGTTGCAACTGACTATTTCACTAAATGGGTAGAAGCGGTACCTTTAAAAGAGATCACCCAGAAGAATGTTATAGAGTTTATCCGCGATCACATTATTTATAGGTTTGGAATTCTACAAACTTTAATGGTAGATCACGGAACATCTTTGAATGGAGATGAGTGTTATAGAATTTATCAGTGATCATATTATTTATAGATTTGGGATTCCACAAACTTGATGATAGATCACGAAACTTCTTTGAATGGAGATCAAGTGATGGAATTCTTGAGCAAGTTTGAAGTTAAGTTAGTGAACTCCACACCATATTACGCTCAATCCAACGGACAGCCTAATCTTCTAATAAGATTCTAAAAAATATCATCAGAAAGATGATAGAGGAAAACGCCAGAAATTGGCACGAATGTTTGAATAAGGCTTTATGGGCTTATAGAACATCACCTCGGTCAAGTACCAAAGTTACTCCTTTCCAACTTGTTTATGAACAGGAGGCCGTTTTGCCTATGGAAATCAACGTGCAATCAATTCGAGTGTGCTTACAACATAAGTTGAATGATGATGAGTATGCCGAATCGCTAGTTCAAAATTTATTAAGTTTAGATGAATTGAAGTTGGACGTCTTGGATAGGTTGCAAGTTCAAAAGCAAAGAATGGCTAAATTTTATAATAAAAAAGTCATAGCCAAGTCGTTCAGCCTGGGTGAACTAGTTTGGAAGACGATACTCCCTTTGGAAACCAAGGATCCAAAGTACGGGAAATGGTCGCCTAACTGGGAAGGACCATACAAAATAAACAATGTATTGTCTAATGGAGCATACCACTTGGAAGATTTAGATGGCACCAAGCACGTAAGATTCATTAATGGCAAATATTTAAAAAAATATGTTCCTTCTTTATGGGAATGCGAACAAATAAAGACATAACCAAACATTCTGGACGATCAAAAAATAATAAAGACAGAGCGAAATACGTTCAAATAAAGTTCTTTATTACCAAACGTTCATTACAAGAATATAAAAGATACAAGTAATAGGCGTGTTACAAAATACAACTAAAGTAAGATGATCTCCCAGTCGATCACTAAGTAAGCTTCACACTGCCTTCCTAAATGCATCGCTGCAGGGGTGGGATTGACGAGTGAGAGGGTGTACTGGCCTCACCACCTTTCTAAATGCATCGCTGCAAAAGCGAGCAAATAGGCTGAGAAACACTCTCAGCAGGCAAGCTGAGAAGCACTCTCAGCAAGCAAAATGGCCCATGAGCAGCCCAAAAATTGCCTTCCATCATTGACTCCTTGTGAAGAAAAAAGAGACGATGGGAAGAACTTCGCAGGTAAAAATTTCGCTGCGGACCAGAAAACATTTCCTATACCTCCCATACCAAAGGTGACATCGAAGTAAATATAAGGCGGACGGACTAAACAGTCCATTTTTGGATCAGATTGATCGTCAGAATGCCAAGAAATGGCAGCAAATTGGTTTCGAATAAGAAAATGAGGAGATGAAGATAGAGGATGAAAAATGCTAAACATTTATAGGGGGTGAAGATGAAGAGACAGAATATGAACAGCCACATTTCTGTCTAATAGACGGAATTAAATGGCCCTAAGTCTTGGGAACAGTAGTGGGAATATCAAAAGGAAATGGACAAAATCCTTAATGCAAAACAGTTAAATGCTTAAAGAATTGATGATTAGAAAATAAACATCAAATAAATGCACAAGAAATTAATGTTCATTAATAAGGAACAAAATTACAAAAAAGAAAAGATATCGTGTGTCTTAATTACATTCTACCCCATAAGGAACGAATTCGTTCCCTAAGTTTTTCCCAATCCTCGTTCTGTCGAGAGGTAGTGATGTTCAATTCGGCCGCAACGTCATCATCATCAACCTCCAGCTTCTTATACTGTTCGACCAAGGATTTAGTTCGCTCAATTCCCTGAGAGGCGTTGCGCTTTTTAGCGGCCATCCTCGCCCTGCAATCCTCCATTTTAGCTTGAAGTTCCCTCATCTGAGCAGCCAAGTTAACCATCAAGGAGTCTTCAATCATGACTTCGGAAGAGATTTCTTTCAACTCGTCCTTAGCCTTGTTGATCTCCAAGCGCAGAGACTCTTTCTCAGCTACGGCTCGAAGATATTGAGTACGCTTGGCCTTTAGTTTAGCATTCTTTGCCAGCATAGTAAGGACCTCGGAGTGAATGACCTTCAATGTCGCTTTAAAGTCGGCAGAAAGATTGAGCGACGGGAGCGTCAGTGCTTGCTCTAACTTCGCACTCAAGCGCTCAAGTTCATCCTTGTGTCTGGCAACACTAGCCCTTCCAATGTCCATGTCCATGAGGGACACGTATTCAAATACCAACTCCTTCAAGAACTTCAAGTCCTCTTCTGAAGAAGCAGCAGGACGATCAGATGGAGCAGGGCGAGGCATTTGGACCTGCCCCCAGGAAGCGAACAAGTCCTGGATAGAACGCACAATCCTGTCAGTATCCTGCAAAGAAGATTGCCAACATTAAAAATATTCGCTACAACGAACAAGTTGGAAATAGGAATGGAGCAAGAAGAAAAACTACCTCGTCGACAATCGTAGAAGATGGCGCACCCTCAGCCAAGCTGGCCACCAACGACTCACCCATTCGTGAGGACTTCCCCTTGTCCGAGCGAGAAGATGTTGCCACAACGGGCGGACTCATGGGAGTATCTGTAAAGTTCAAAGAGCAACCAGTCAGAAACCAATAGCACGAGCAAAGGTAAGACATCAAAAACTGAATTACCTTCTGCTTCGATGATTGGGGGGTCGACGCCCTGGGAGGAAGGTGGCTCATTCATGGGGTGTGATGAAGAATCTGGGACTGAAGATGTATCTTTAAGCATGGTCACATCATCAACCGGCTTGAATAAAGTAGCCTCAACAGAGGATGATGGAGCAGGAGTTGGTAATGCCAAAGCTTTTGAAGGGGAAGCTGAGCTTTTCTGAAAAGTCCAAAAGATCATCAGTACACAGAAAAATTTCAAATGGGGAAGAGCATACTTGTAAATAGACCAATTTAATTACCTTTCTCTTAACGATAAGAGGGACATCATCATCATCATCATCCTCCAGAATGGGAGATGCTGAGGCTGGCCGTTTGCGGCTTGGAGCACTCTTGGCCATAGTTGGCCTGGCAGGGAGAGAAGAAGATGGACGAGCAGATTGTTTAGTACGACGAGAAGGAGAGGGGTTCCGAATAGACAAAGGAGGGACCAAAACAGGAGAAGGAGAAGAAATCCTCGGTTGGTCTAATGAATGAAAGGCACGATTGGCCTCAGTCGCAAATAATCTGCACTTCACCGATGGCCAAAGTTGTTCGAAAAGAGGGTGAGTAGCATGACAAGGATTAAAAGGGGCTAATGAAAAATGGCTTGATAAATGGAGGTTGCGAGCGTTTATAGCCTCTGCTTCCACCTTATTAATGGTATGAAAATGGTCGTTTAAGTTCTTCGAATAGCAAAGAGGAACAGGCCAAGTTTGACCGAAACCAAGCTGCCGAGCAAAAAATTGGGGAGCATAAATTTCTACCCCAGCTTTGGCATTGGTCCCGGTTAAGATATTGTGGAAAAGCTCCCTCCCAGTTAAGAACTGGATCCAAATGAGCAGAGAGGTGCTCGCGCTATCTAGAGTGGAAGGAGGATGTACATAGTCCGGAGTCAAAAAAGGAGGAAAAGGAAAGAAGGAAGAGATTGAATCTAAAGAATAAAAGAATGAAAAAATGTCCCTTCTGGACATACTTACAGGAGTTAAGGGCTCCATAGCTAGCCCGTAACAGCTAGCAGAAGGACGAGAAATGGATAGAGCACCAAGCGATGGAAAATAGGATCTCAACCATAATTGAGTGAACCAAAGAGGTCCACTGCTAGTAGAAGATGCACAATTCTTCAATTGAGCCTGAAGAAAAGCCATGCCTCTATAAAGGGCAGCCAAAAACAAAGAACATAAATTCAAAGGCCTGCCACGCGCCAGTTCGTGCGATATGGGTAGATAACTCAGAGAGGGCTTTATACTAGGCACACACAACACATATTTACAAAGCCAAACTAAAAGGAAAGCCACTCGCTCAGCATGAGTAGGCTCAGCACTCGAATGATTGTGGAGTGTCTGCAGGCTTGAATAAGAATCAGTATAGTTTTTACCGAACTGTGGGGCGCCACCAGAAACTAAGATGCCTGGGAAAATGGTATTGCCCAAAGGTGGTAAATTTACCAAGGCCCCAACATCCCTTAACGTAATAGACATGGGGCCAAGAGGAAAAATAAAGGTGTTATTCTCAGAGGACCAAAAGCTTAGAGCAATCGGAAAAAGCGCCGAATCAAAAGTAGGGGGCGAATAGATACTTCCAACAAATCAGAAATCCTAGCGCTATCAAAAAGTGCCTTAGTAGGACCATGACCCACAAGACGAGCATGCCACCTACGAAAAGCTACGTCAGATTTGGGCCAAGTGCGAATACCTCTTTCACGAAGTGGCCCCAGCGGCAAAGAATTCAGAAAAGGAGGGCCATGAGTGCAAGGAACCAGCGGACCCACCGCCGCCTGTTCAACTGCCTCCGCATTGTTGAAAAAAGGACCCAAGTAAAACTCATTACGTCCAACATCAGCGGGCGCGAGAAAACTTGGGGTTACGTATGGACGACTCAGAAGTTTCTGAAAGTCATCAAAACTAAAGGAGTCGCTAGCTTGAGATTGTGAAGCAGCCATTGAAGAAAGAACGAAGCTTTTCAGAGTTACGTAACAAGGAAGCAAAAGATGAACAGTGAATCGTGAAAGATGCGCAAGAAATATGAAACGTGATTTGGTAGCAGTAAAATGGCGTGTTTGGAGTTTATAAGGGTTTGCAAAGCGACGCACCTTTTCAAGTTATAGAAGGAAACAATGATTGAAATTCTTTGGAAATCGCGAACGTTGTTGGAGACGTGAAGTAAATATGGCAAAATTCAATAATTATTATTAATTCTGCCATATTGGGGGGTAATTGTTGACACATAAAAATTCAGCCCAAATCGAACAGCCCAGAGAGTAAAGCCCAATTGGAGGATCCCCAAATCAGATAGCCCAAAGAACGAAATCCAATTGAACGAATCAAGGTGAAGGCCCAATAGTGCGGTAACGCCATCGCCCAAGTTTGCAAGTCGCTTAGAGTCTGAACGAATAGAGTGGCATACGGTCGCCCGGAGTCTCGCCCAAATCTTCAAGTCGCCCAAGGTATCAACAAATATAACGCATTATGATTATCAAGAAATGCAGTTATTGAGGCAGTTGCTAAAGTAACCTTACCACGTTCCACGACTCAAGGGGTTCAATCGAAAGCGGTTGAACGATGCAAGATAATGGCAGCAGTTAAAAGAACAGTTTCATGACAAAATGGCCACTACAAAGAAAGTGGGTAGTTATAGGGCGATCAAGCAGTTTTTTAGAGCAGTTAATCACAAAGAGATCGCCTATGAAGTATAAAAGGGAGAAAGAACTTAGAAGAAAGGACCGAATCCAAAACTCTCGAACAGAGAATATGTAATTTTCATTCCTTTAACTTTTAGACTTAAACACTTCCTTTTCTGTAACTCGTGTGCTTGCGCCCCTTGGAGGCACGTTGTTTTCCGTTTCCAATTGTAAAGTTCATCCCAATAAAAGGAACACCCATTTTTGGGACTTTGTCTCAAGAGGTTTCGTCCCTTACACAATCGTCTGATCCTCTTTAATTGTTAGCGAATTAACACGCGCGAAACAGACATGTTTGAATCTTCAAAAATCAGAAATCAAATGGGTAGAGCGAAAGAATCTTGGTGGGAGGAGAGAAAAGAAGATTGGAAAGAGAAGGAGATGTTGATAGAAATTAAATAATGGGTGGGGGAGAGAGAATATTGGTGGGAGGAGAGAGAAGGAGATTGAAGAGAGAGAATGAGATTGGAGAGGGAATAAATAATATTTAAACAAGTAAGATGTAATTTTAGAAATGAAATTGCTGGCTGGACTCTGCCATAACAAATTCACCTTCCAAACACAAATCTGAACCAACTCCTACAATTCATCTCTCAGACGACATATTAAAGCCACAGATTATTTAATATTAAGGTAAAAAAATCTATACGATTTGATCACAGATTCATGATTTAATTAGTCACATATTATTTTTTGATCACAAATCAAAATATTTATATATCACAAATTATTTTATGGTCACAATTCAAAAATTTAATAGGTCACAATTTGTTCATTGGTCACGAATCAAAAAATTTTATACGTCACAGATTACAAATATTATAAGTCACAGTTTATTAAACAGCCACAAATTAACAAATTTTTTAGGTCACATGTTATTTTTTGTCACAATTCCTATTTTTTCACTGGTCACATGTTTATCGGTCACAGATTTAATCACAGATTAGATTTTAGACACAACTTATTTATCACAAATCGAAAATTTTATAGGTTATAGAATATTTTTATACCACGAATTCAAAATTTTATAGACCACAGATTATTCATCGATCACATATTCAAAACTTTTATTGATCACAACTCATTTACTCATTGCAAATTATTGAATTAATTTGTCACGATTAATTTTTCGATCACAATTTAATTATTTGTGAATCACAATTGAAAGTTATAGATACAATTTTTAGGTCACATATTCAATTGTGAATCACTATCACAATTTTCAGCACAGCCAACATCGCTGCCAATACAGCTAGCACCACCCCCTCTATCACCACCATAGCCAGCACTGCCCCACACTGCATCAACCCATTTCTTCAAATCGTCAACACAAACGCCCACAAGAGAGAGAGAGGAGGGGGGAGCTCCCAGGGCACATCTCCAAGTGGTAAAAGGGGAGGGTGGAGAAATCCAACTTTGCTTGAGACTGCCGTGTCAAGGGTTCGAATCCTGAAATATGGATTTGGCTCTTGGGTAAGTGCAAGTGTACAAGCAGTCTTCCACCTTGTATCCTTAGAAGCATAATTTGTGATTTACCTCTTTCACGATACTCCAGGACAGGTGCGGTGGGGGACCCTCAAGGTTGGAGTTCAATTTTTTTTTTTTTTTTTTTTTTTTTTTAGAAGGAGGGGGGACAGGTGGGAAAAGTCAGCGAGGAGAGAGAAGAAGATGGAGAGAGAATTAATTTGATTATGCAGAGAGAGGGGCGCGTGGGTGGGGAAGTTAGTGAGGAGAGAGAAGGAGATGGAGAGAGAGAGAGAGAGAAAGAGAGGGGCGAGTGGGCGGGGAAGTTAGTGAGGAGAGAGAAGGAGATGGAGAGAGAATTAAATTGATTATGGAGAGAGAGAGAGAGAGAGAGAAGGGGGGATGGGTGGGGAAAGTTAGTGAGGAGAGAGAAGGGGATGTAGAAAGAATTAAATTGATTATGGTATGAATGGTATGAATTAAATTGTATAGATTTTTTAACTTAATATTTAAGATGAAATATCTGATTTTTGAATTATTAAATTACTCCTCTCATTTTCGAACCCTAGATTTTAACTCTAGAATTTTGTGTAATTTCCACTAGGTATTACCCAAACTGAAGCAGAAAAGAAGGCAGGTCGGGACTGTGTTGAATATATTAAATACAAAAGAATACGACAGATCAAGGGGAGTGCTAAGGGCTTAATTGAAGATATTGGGCAGTAGAAAAACAAGAGAAAACGGCTGGAATTGAGGACTGGCCGGGGCTGAATTTAAGAATTATATACGGACAAATTGGAGGCCGAAAACTGGAGTGGTCGAATTAATAATTAAACCAGCTGCTAGGAATTAATTGTTGGGTTGCTAAGTGAGTTGAATTATATATTTGTACATCCACCGGAAGTTGAAGCAAGGAGGAGAATTGGAGTCCCTTTTCTTTAGTCAAACTGCGCGGTTGCAAGGTGGAATTATATTGCTACATCCACGGAAAATCGAGGCAGATCAAGGCTGGAAATTGGAATTATATACACGCAGCTGGAGAGACATTCATGAGACGGGTGAAAGACGGCACACGCAATTGGAATAAATCACGTTCCGTCAATTATTGGTGATGTCGTTCCACTTTTATTTGTTTAATTCCGCCGTTATGTTTGAGACGGGTGAAAGACGGCACACGCAATTGGAATAAATCACGTTCCGTCAATTATTGGTGATGTCGTTCCACTTTTATTTGTTTAATTCCGCCATTATGTTAGGCTATATTTTTTTGTGCTAGGAAAATAATGAACTTTGTTATATGAATTTTTAATGTCTAGTTTTACATTTTTGACATTAAAACATGAGTTTGAAATTTGAATGATTTATATTCACTTATTTTCTCCATAATTATTGTGCACGTAATTTGTGTGAGTTTGGTGACCTGTTCTTGCGTTCAAGAGAAGTGGAATAGGTTCGACAGGGTATAAATCATCGTAGAATCCAATAGGTGATAGATATATATCATTATGCCTTGTGTGAATCTTTAAGTGTTCACAAAACCACATGTATTTTTGTATATTTGCATTCGTCATAGAGATATAGTCGGATGGTGTATAAGAATATGTTCAATATATCTCGAGAGAGAGTGTTGGATAGATTTAGGAACATTGATTCTTCAAAATCCAACCGTGTCGTCAAATTGTAAAACTAAGGTTAAAAGGAATTATTTCATGGGGATTCGCAATCCTAGTACATTCGTTATTCATTAGATACATCAAACTTGCATTTTAACATAATTTGCATCTAGTTTCATTTAAGTCATTCATAATTACCTACGTCACTTAGTTTAGTTATAATTTCCATCACAGCACACATATCATTTTCTTGTTTCTTAAGGTCGAGATAAGTAAAATTGAACTAAATCAATCCCTGTAGGATGATATTCGGACTCAATTGATCAACTTTATTACTTGTTAACAAATCGTATACTTGCGGTGGTTTAGTTTACCCAACAAAATTAATAATGTGCTATACTAATTTTGAAAGAAGTATTGTATCTTAGGACACATACGTTTAGGGGAGTAAACGAGCCGAGTCGAACCAGCTCGAGAGCCAAAACTCTCAGAGCTCGAGCTGTTTCAATACGGGCTTTTTTTGGCCCGAGCCGAGCCGAGGGCTTGACTCAAAAAAATAAAGCTCGACCTGAGCTTTTGGCTCGGGCACTACCGAGCCGAGCCGGCTGTTTTGATGTCTTTTTTTTCTTTTCTTTTTTTTAAAAATTTTTTTATTAATTTATTTTTCCTTAATTGCTGCCCACCAACAGCAGCTGCAGAAATTATAACTAAACTAAGTGACGCATGTAATTGAAACCACCCAGAAATTTTTTGGATCGCGCTACACACCGAGGGATTGAAACCAGGGATTGGTTCCCGAATGACGTGGCAGTCATTTTAAAGACAAAATTTTAAAAATAAAAAATTGAACCATAAAACGGGAAACCCTTGCTACCGTTCCTCATTTGTCTTCTCTCCCGAAATCAAAGCGACACCCAAATTGAAATCCACAGAAATGGGAAACGTTCCCCGACCTCTCCACCTTCGGCCACAATTACATCGACGGTGCCGTCTTCACTAAGGCCATCTCCAGCCTCACCATTTCCGGCCACACTTCAGAAGAAGGTTGTCGTCGCTCTGGGTCACCTCCATCGAAGTTTCACCGTCATCCCAGATCACCATCGCCGGCAGGCAGTGAAGGTTATGAGTTCGTGATTTCCTGGTTTTGCAAATTTGGAAGTTGTTTTGCCTTTTTTTTATTTTTTATTTTTTTGTTCGTAATTTTTTTTGGCACTGTAGCTTATCTTGAAGCTTTGGTGCTATTAAATTGGAGTAAACCATGTTTGTTGCGTCTGAACTTGTTTTGAGCAAAAATAACTTGTTATTGCACGAGCAGTGTGTGACATTGAATCCATGAAATCTGTGCTTTCCGAGCAGTCTCTTATTCAATATTTAGGCGGTTTGATTAATTGTTTATAATGACATTAAATTCAGTTGAGTAAACACTGCGGTTTATTCCTATCTTAGAATGGGCAGAAGGAAGATTGCTGCTTGAGTATTAGACGACAAAGAAGCCAGATTGCTGCTTGATTATCTATTTCAGTTTTTTGCTTTCTTCCCAATTGCTGCTTTACAGTTCTCGACACCTTGGATATGTGGTTTTAGGCTCGTTCCTCTATTGCTGTATTCCAGGCACTTTGGATATGTGGTTTGAAGCTGGTAATTGAATTTTGTGTCTGTTGAGTTGATGAATATCATGATTTTGGCTGTCAATTCATTTTTGTATGTTGAGTTGATGAACATCTGGATTAGATCAGGTAGTATGTTCAATGCTAGTAGTTGATTTTTGTGTCTGTGATTAACATCACTTTGGCAGTCAATGTGGTTTTCAGTGTAATGAACTCATGACTTTTTATTGTTTTTTTTCCTCCTGTTATCTTAGTTCCTCGTTTAATAAAGTGTAATCACATATTGAAATCTGGGAAACATTTGAATGAAGATTCATTCCGCTTTCAAGACATCCTTCATATAGTTTTGCCAGGGTCTTCAAAAGTCTCTCAATGGACTGAACAATTGCACAATAAAAAACATCATCTTTCTCTTGCCATTTGCTAAGCAATGGAGAGTGAGCAAAGCATTTAAAGGAAGCCACCATTGAGTCCATGTTATTGGAAACAGAGATCGAACCCAAACAAGCAGACTTGATAACATTATAGGTTTTTTTGAATAACTAACACAGCGTGATGTCCTTTCTAATCCTGAATGTAGGGAAAACAAGTTAAACATGATGGATATGGTAAGGGCTGAATAAACTGCATTAGTCTCTAATGGATTATGACTTTGTCTGGAAACCAATAGACATAAGAAAGAGGAAAAATATGAATGCTGCAAATTGATCCTAGAGAGTATCACCAAGATGCCAAGTTCAATATGTCATTAAATCATGCTATATTGTCATCAGTCCTTTAAAAATACCAGGAAGAACTCGAACATGTAAATTGTGAGTACGACTAGGGGAAGAGGAGATCAAAGTCGCCAAAAGTAAATAAGCAAATTCTGGAATCAAGTTATTAAGAAAGAATCTCCTATGCAACCAGAACTACAATTGACCATCGTATATACAAGGTAAAACTAGTGCATGTAACAAGCACAACATGAACACATTGACAAAAATGAGCCATAAATATCTTAGCCACAGTACTTATAACAAGGCTGGCCATGAATACCACAGTACTTATAACAAGGTTGTCTAATCTTTCATGGATGCAACATTATGAAGAATACATAACCATCCTCAATAACCAACACTCTTGCATTAATTATCACCTCAAAAAATATAATATAATCATAAGTTTAACAAAGTTCCTACTCCTCATAACATTAATGCTACTGCTGCAACAAAAATTAGAAGCGAAGATTGAAAGAATATTCTTCTTTAAAATGAAATCGTCAGCCGAACGACAAATTATTATTCCCACCGATCAACCCTGGTCAGGTAAATGTGGATAGTAGTATGTCCATGGTTGACCTACAAAATAATGTGGACATTATTAGCTGCATACATGAGTGAAATGGGAAGCCGAACTTAAAATATTGATCTGGCCTCATACCATGTTTAGTATATACCACATTTGATGTTGTTGGAGGGATATAATTTGACAATGGTGTAGCTGCTGAATATTGTGCGAATGGGAATGTTGCCGGCATCGAACTGGGCAGATAAGAGAGCGGTGTCTGCGCAGCGAAATGTTATTGCTGAGCTCCCTGAAACTTGTAAAACTTAAAACATGCAGGACTACAGCTCAAACCCTTGTTAATAGTGCCTGTGGCCGGAAAAATAAGGAATGCCCAAAAAACACGTACACAAATTGGTAGTTCTCTCATGACTGATTGAACAATTCCTTTTCTTTCCACAAAGCTTTATAATTAACAAATATTATGCGTATGATCAATTAATTGTTCAATACCAGCTGCTTTATTTAAAACAACAAGTGGGGAAATAGAAACGAAAATATTATGCTTGATCAATTAATTGTTCGATACCGTTCCAATGCTTTTGTAACAGTCAACAGAACTCAATCAACCAGTTTCGTTCAGCCCTTCGTACCTTTCACCTAGTTTCTAGAATTCGTCGTCGTCAAATCTTCGGACTAGTGGCAGAGATACATGAGCACGACTTCAAAACTAACAGGCGAAGCGTCAACGAGAAGCTGCAAACTCGAAATTGATTTCGCCGTCTCCACGCAGGAATTTTTCGCTACCATTTGAGGATTTACTCGACGAGAAGACGAAAATTTCAGTTCAGCGTCGTTGTTTTGTGGATTTGCTCGACGAGACGAAAATGGTAGAGGCGCGGAGGGAGACGAAAATGGAGGGAATAGGGTTTCCTATTTTCCCTTCCCATTTTGCCCTTTTTTTTTCTAATTTTCCATTTTGACTCACGGTTGCCTCAGCTGCGGTGCGTTCCTTCCTTTTCCACGTCAGCAATAATTTTAAATCCCTGCTTTTACTCTGGACCATTATCGACACCATTTTATGTACTGCAAGAGTTATTGTTTTAGAATTGTGCATCCTGATTAATATATTCTTGCATCAACCATTAAAATTTGTGCAGAATTTAAGGTATCGATTTAATTAGAATCAATTTTGTTTCTCAATAATAACAATTCATTAAAGGTCATCTAAGGAAAAATGTAGATTTGAATATTTATTAGTCATATGGAAATTATAATTTTCTTAGTGCATTTCATATATATAATTATTTCTGGTAAACTTGGTTATGTTATGTGCCCTTGTGGATAATTTCGTACTTAGCCTTGTTTGAGCTCCATTTTTTTTTTTTTTTCAAAATACATCTTTCAACAGTAATTTGACATCATTTCGACCACATATTTTTTAATAAAATAATATTACACGCAAACTCAAAACTTTTCCTTATTTTTTAACCACACATTCTTTATCACAACACTATTCCAAAATACATTTTTTTTAAAAAATGGGGCTCAAACAACCCCTTAATATGTTTGAGCCCCATTTTACCTGTCAAAAACTTATTTTAGAATATTATTTTAATGTAGAATGTGTGGTTAAAAAATAAGAATTTTTTTTGAATTTTTGTGTAATATTATTTTAATGAAGAATGTTTGTTTGAAAATAAGAAAGAGAAAAATGTATTTTGAAAATAATAGGGACCATACAAATATTATGTAAAATGTAATATCTTTTTCAATTGTTGTATTAAGTGTAAATTTTTTTTAAAAAATATTAGTAAATGCAATTTAATAATTTTAGTAATAATATAATTTATAATTAAATAGATAATGCAATTTCTTTCAAAAAGAAAATATTGAAAAATAAAATCGAGGAAATCTAATCCAAATTAAGAGGCTTAAATTTTCTTTTTGTAATTTTGGTCACCTAACTTTCATGTAAATCTCAATTGGATCGCCCATTTCTAATTTATAGCAATTAAATTATTGTATTTCAGTTAAATTTAAACATTCGATATTCTGTTATAAAATTAGAATTCAACTCATACTTTGATGTTAAATGATGGGTCGATCATTTTTAAAACAGGAAATTTAATCCAAATTAAAAGACTTTTTTTCCCCTTTTATCTTTCTAATTTTTGATCTTAGATGAAGCACATTTCTCAATTGTCGTACCCAGAAACTAAAAGCCTAAAACAACGTCACTACGAGAGGGGCTCTGCTCAGAAATGTCTCTCTCTATGCTCGAAGTCTTCATTTCTCGCACAATCTCAATCCTAATCTAGGAATCTATAACAAATGATTGTGCCATTTTCAGTACAAATAATGCATAGGTAATCCATTGCTTCTCTTCGAGATTTCAATTTTTGTCACGGTCGGACTCGACCTACAACTTCACAAACACTGTAACACACTGTTACACACATTTCAGAAATGGGATGATTTCCAGTTGGGTTAGCTGAATATGGAACCAATTAAAATAGAAAGCAAAATGGGGAAGGGGAAAAATGAGAAATAAGAAGAATAGGGAAGAGTAAAGCCGTTGAACGATTTCAACAAATTCCACTGAAAATATCATATTACACCAGCTACCTTCCCAGCCATACATTTCTGAATACTAGTAAAAAGTAAACGTGCATTGCACGTTGTTTTGAAATGCTTTATAAGTGCGTAAAAATAATATTTGAAAATGCATGAATTAGAGAGATAATTGTGAGAAATTATGTATGTGAAATTAACTTTTTATTCAATGAGAATATCTTTGTACACTATATTTTTTTGAGTGATTCAGAGGCATCAAAGATTGTGACATAAACTTCTTGATTACCAATCATTTTCATACGCCGATAAATCTCTTATAACCTTTGATTCCATGATGCGGGAGAGCAAAATATTTGATGATTGAGATGTAACAACAACTAATTTGTAAATAATAATAATAATAATAATAATAATAAATAGTTAAGTGATTAATTCATTTACATCTAAAACTCATGAGATTGAGATCGAGATTGAGAAAAGTCAAATAATTCATGAACATGAAATCTAATTAATTTAAATCAATGGAGATAGGAAAATTATAATTTATATATATTTAGATGAAAGGTATATAAATTATAATTCACGAGGGGAGAATCATTGGTTCATGTAATAATTTCACATATATAAATTAAAATGGTTCGTGCAGTTAATGTCTTCGGTTCATGCATGCATGCATTTACGTGGGAGTTCCTTGGTTATGAAAATGAACAATTGATGCCGCTAATGTCTTCACTTCATGCATGCATTTATAACTTTATGTGTGGTTCCTAGAATAATTAAATAGCTCCAAAATTTTATGAAGTGTACATGCAGCTAAAGTGATGCTTGGTTGCACCTCGACCTCATTCATCTCCTCAATTTTTTCTTCAAATTGACCAAATTACTTTGGTGGAAAGATAATCAGAAACAAATTAAAAACATAACAGATGTCAGTCAATCAATTTTCTCACTTACGGTCGAGGGTAAACCTTGATAAAAAGTTGAAGATAATAATGAATGCACTTTCTTACAGAAAAGTAGTACTTGACAAGGTACACATTTATAGGTTCCATAGTGCTCCAGAGAACTATTCTGTATCTCCTCTGTGGATAATCAATTGCTTGAACAAATCAAGGAAATTCATGAGTATATATGCAGTACAAATTCTTCTGCAATACTTGGCTCTAAGTTATTGTTCACTTTTTCAGAAGAAAAAAAAAAAAAAAAAAAAAATTTTTTAAAAAAAAAAAAAAAAAAAAAAAAAAAACTAACCTCACTAGGATCTGGAATTTCTAAAGTGGTGCCATGTGGAGCTTTGAGTGCTATCAAAGTTTCATTCTAATGAAATAAACATACAAATGCTTCAGTGAGAAACCAATGAAAGCAGTAGGGAAGAACTAATGTGAAATACCTGAAAGCAAGGTAAACTGTTGATGTCGTCTTCAGTCACAAAAAGCCACATGGTGAAGAAAGGTATGTATGTGAATCTAATAATGTTTGTGTGTGTGAGTACTTTTATGAAAATGAAAAATTGATGCAGTTAATGTTTTTGGTTCATGCATGCATTTATCACTTTATATGTGTGGCTCCTAGAATAATTAAATAGCTCCAAAATTTTATGAAGTGTACATGGAATAGCCCCCAAAACTATAATAAAGTATAAATACATTATGGACACCGTTATGATGATATACGTGCATTTAAATAAATAATTGAATCATAATAGGGCACGTAAGTGGTAGGGCTAGAATCGATTCATTAGCCAATGGACAACCTTAAATATCATGAATTTCTACACCAATGCTTTCAGTAATGTCATGTGGAGTGTCCCCCCCCCCCCTCTCCAATAAATAAATAGCTTAATAAAATAGTACCTTATATAAAATGTGGATAGAGTATTTTGAATTTTAGAATTAATAATGAGTAAAACTTTCTGAACATGATTGTAAATTATGCATTTGATCGAAAAATATAATTACCAATCACGATATCTCCGCTAGCAAAATCTGATACTTCATTGAATTGAAGAAAAGAGTTTGATATCTTATAGCATATATGTTCTTCAATCTCTTCTACTTCTGTTGTAGTTGTGAAAGACAATTCGATTTCATCGTTCACATTTCGATATTTTCCATTGACAGGTCTTACACTTCCATTTTACATTATGGACACCCTTATACATGCATTTAAATAAATAATTGAATCATAATAAGGCACGTAAATAGTAGGGGTAGAATCGTCCAAAAATAATTCTTCCCTCATATGATATTTAATATATTATAGATATAGATTATGGATATCTAATTCTCTGTGTGTAAAGAAAACGTGTTTAACACTTCAAAACCAATAACCTTTTTTTAGCACATTTTACAATTTATTCAATTCCCAAAACGGTGTCGTTCCCGTTAGCATAAAACGGCATCACTTCTTCATTCAACTTCTGGAAATTCTGTTGGCTACCTTCTTCCTTCTTCATTTGCCATTTGGATCTGTTTTTCTTCCTTTTCAATTGATTTTCCATTGGATTCTCCACGTGATTTTTTTCCTGAAAATGAAGCCCCCAAAGAAATAGCAGAGTCGAACCAAGATTCAAGGCCTGAATCTGAATCTAGAGTTACCGAGCCTGAAGAGAAGAAACAAGTCACCGCCGAGGTCCAAGATGTAACTAATAAAGGTACAAAATTGAAAATTATTTTAGTTTTTGTGGTATCAAAATAATGTAATTATTTCCTGGTACGTCTAATTCACATTTGAGATCTAAAGAAACTGCACTGTATTTTGTTTTATTGGGTAGCTGTTGAAGCTCATTTTTTCAAGAAGAAAAGGAATTTTTTTATATTAATAAGATAGTTTATTACGATTTTTGGAGGAATACGTGCATTAATAACGTTGGAGAAAATTGGACCTGTTAAAAGTGCAGTTTGATTCCTGTTTCATGTATGATTATTCAGTCAATTAAAAGTTTCAAGCTCTAGTGCTCTACTAGCTTTTAGTGGTTATATTTTTGGAAACGAGATTAAGTAGATTGCACAATATGCTGTTCGGATATAAAGCTTTTGATGTTGACTCGGTTGCTGAGTAATCATGGACTTACTAATGCTAGTCTACCTGTTTCATCTATGTTTTATAGATTAAGATAAATCATTTCAGTGTAAATCTGAATTTTCTGGAATTTGTAATACTGGCCATTCTTCCATATTATTAACCCCCGGAACATGTCAGATATTTGGTGTGTTTCAAGAACCAACTGTTTGCAGCTTTATTCGGAATATTTTATTTGCAGATTTAAAAGTGCAGATAGAGGACTACTTCAAGAATTCCAATGAGGATGCACTCCCGTTAATCCTTGAGAGTATTCTAAAGAGGAGGATTTCTGGTAAGCATGATGACACAGATGATGAGTTGATGGAAGAGCTTCAAATGCAGCAAATAGATAATGTTAAAGACCAAGATTTTGAATCAGATTTTGAGGAGGGCCATGAAACGGATGAATAGATTGATGATTTGTACAATGCAAGGGATATTATGGTGAAGAAAATGGCAAGCGATCCATACTTTAACATGAATGACGAGAAGTGGGATGACATGATTGCAGAGGCTGTTGAACATGGGCATCTGAAGGATACTAGGGAGTACGAGGCAATACTAGAGGACATGCTTAACCGGGACAAACTTCCACCAGGTAATAATTCTATTCCTTTTTTCGAAGTCAAAATGTAGAAAACAAACTTTCCATCTTTCTTGGTGGTTTTGGATTGATAAGATGAATCTTTTTTCTTGTGATTAAGATGGCATTAAATTTTGATGTATCATGTTGTCGAACTGCACAACCTTTTTAAACAAAAAAGTACTATTGCACACTATTGGCTTGGGGCTATGGACAAGTCTGTGCTCCCAATGGTAGTGATAACAGCTCCAAGGATGTGCATAAAAGCTCGACTAACCATCTAATGAATACAAAGAGACTGTATAGACAAAAAATTGTCTATACATCATACAAATGGTAAATGTCAAAAGGGGAGCTATTGATAGGGGAAGAAAAATGAAAGAAAGAGGATTACAAGCAGATGTTTATTTTGAGACTTGTAACTATCAATTACCAGCTACAGACCTTTCACTTGTATCCCAAATTTACATATAAGAGGTACAGAATCATCTAGAACTCATAGCATCCCAACTCCACAAATTGAACACCTTTGCTAAGAGAGATTCATATACAAAACAGCAATGGATACTAGAAAGAACATGATGTAGGAAGCAATAAAAGTGGGATAAAAATCTGCTATATCTATTTTGTACCATTTCGTGTCCTTTACTTCTGAACTGGATGATGATTTTGGTGACTCCCCGATGGAAGAGCATTTATTTTCTAGTGGAAGTCCACAAAGATATAGATTTCCCTCATAACTGCTCCTGTCAAAAGTCCCAAATTGTGCTTTTATTTCAGGAGTTTTACCTGACAAGTTGTTATAAGCCACACTAAACACTTCCAGAAAGTGGAGATTCAGCAATTCTGGTGGAATCTCTCCACTCAATCTGTTGTAGGAAAGGTCTAAACTCTCTATCTGGGAAAGATGAGAGAAAATTTTAGGAATGGAACCCTTAAGATGGTTATGAGACAAGTTTGCCGCATGAAGTGAACCCAAATCTCCAATTTCATGTGGGATTTCTCCTGTTAGATTGTTGCATGACAAATCCAATCCTGACATGTAGTTGATGATGTTTCCCACGTAGGATCTGGGCCTTCCTTTTGTAACGAATTCAACTTCAACTAATTTTGTGTATTCCGCTACATTAGCATAGTCATGAATCCTCACCAAGAAATTCCCATATGTACAGGTTGTAGACTTTTCCACTTCAAAGTAGAAGTTAGTCAAGATGTATATTTGATCGTACATACCAAATTTCCCAAAAGAGATGTTATTGATGCAACGAGGAATAATCCCTGAGAATTTGTTGTGGGAGAGGTCCATCAGGGAGACTTTGTTCAAATTACATATGTGGTTGGGAATGGAGCCATTCAACTGATTCGACCCCAACAGAAGAACCCTCAAGTTGGAGAGTGCTTGCAATGAGTTGGGGATCGTACCAGACAGAAGGTTATCCCTCATATCCAATGTTAGCAGATATGATGAATTTAGAAAAGCATATGGTATTGGTCCGGTGAACTTGTTTCCCTGTAAAACTATATAACCCAGATTGTTCGAGCAAGATGGTAAAGGTCCTGAAAGAGAGTTATGTGAGATGTCTAAAAAATAGGTTTTCCCTAGTTGACACGGTAACCGGCCTCTCAAGAAGTTATTGTACATGAGGACAGTTGATAACTGTGTCATATTAGATATCCAACTGACTTCACCTGAGATATTGTTGTTGCTAATGTCCAACATTCTCATGAAAGAGCTCCTAGCAATAACATTTGACACAGTTCCAGAGAAGTGGTTGTCCTCTAGGCTTAAATAATTTATATTTGTCAAGTTGAAGGTAGTAGCCAATATTTCCCCTTCGAACTTATTGTTGGATACTTTGAGAGCATATAAATCGATGCATCCTGCAATGAGTTCTTTTGGTATTTCCCCATAGAAGAAGTTGAAAGACAAGTCCAATTGTCCCAAGTTCGACATGTTGCAGAATGAGGATGGAATGGTACCATCGAAATAGTTTCTAGATAGATTAAGATATTCAATGCTTGGAAGCTTTCTTCCCATGTCTTCCCCTACCTGTCCAGTCAAGTGGTTGTTTGACAAATCATACCAACAAATGCTATTGTTCTGATGAGGAGGCAGTGATAACTGGCCAACAAGAGAGTTGTTTCTTAAGTTCAAAACTTCTAATCCTGCATTTTTCTGAAGCAACCAATTAGGAAAATTTCCTCGCAGGTTGTTGTGGGAGAGATCGACCACTTTTAGCCTGTACTGGTGTGAAAGAAACGTGGGGATATTGCCTCTGAGTTTATTAAGGTTACAATTGGATAATTGAAGAACTTTCAACTGAAAATTTGGGGTCCAATTTGAATTTTCGGTTTCAACATCAATTTTTCCCATATTCCCCAGTTCAATGATCTCCAGCTCAGAATGATTGGCCAATAAACTAAGTGATAATTTACCCTCGAATTCATTATCCTTTAGGCTCATGTATTGCAGGGATGTGAAGTTGGATATTATGAAGGAAATGTCTCCTTTGAATTGATTCATAGAAAGATCTAAAACTTTTATAGAGCTCAAGTTGGTGAAACAATGAGGAAGCGGTCCTTCAAAGGCGTTTTGACTGAGGTCTAATTCTTGAAGGCCTTTAAGTTCACAGAAACCTGCAAATTATGGAGTATGAAATAAGAGTCCTCAAAAGTTGAGCAAAAGCATGCATAGATCATAAACCCCCAATCCCTTAACAAGTAGTGGGGAACTGAGCGTTGTCTCAACTATGAAAGTTGCTTGATATTTAAGAAACACGGATTTGGATACGTAATTTGAATATAATACGGTATGGGTACGATATATATATAAACAAATTCATGATAATAAAATAAAATACTAAAACATTTTCTTTTAATCGTTAATTGTACCAATTTCATTTTCTTCAACATCACAAATGTCAACTCCTTAATTTATTATTAAAAATAATATTCTCCAACTCTAACATATATAACGATAGATTAACAACATCAAGCATTCAAATACCTTTGAGAGAATCAATTGTTTTCGATAATGTCTCATATTTTAGATTCTCCTTTTGAATAGAAATTTAATTTTCTTGATAAAAGACATAGATTGATATGAATGGAAATCATTTTATTATATATATAGTGGAGTTTGATTTTATTACACACAATTTTACATGCGTTAAACTATTATCAATTCCTAATAAAAAAAATGTATTTATCAACTATTAACAAGATTTTCCATGTATTAAAATATTTAATGCTATTGTGTATCTTTAATATAAAAAAAAAAAAAATCTATTTTCTCTATTCTATAAAGATAGACCTACTTTCATTTTCATAGGGATTAAGAAAAAGTAAATTATTTAATAAGGAATAATGTAAATTTAATATTTTACCCTTTTAAAATTGGTCAAAGCATGGTGAAAATCAACTTTTCTGGTCAACTAATGGTCAAATGGATGGAATCCGTCCATCCATCCTTCTACTGCAATAAAATGACAAGTTTGGTACTTTGGATGCCACAATTGAAAGATTTGGGTAGAGTTTGCGAAAACGTGTAAGATTTGATCGGGAATGCAATTATCCTAAAGTAAATATGTGTAGAATAGACTCAATATATTTAATCTTGTACCTTTACTGGGCAAGAAACCTGTAAGATTGTTTTCTGCCAATGATAGTGCCGAAAGGGAGGACATAAGCCCGATAATTTGAGGTACGCTCCCCTTGAAATTGTTCTTGCTCAAATCTAGGACCTTTAAGTTCTTGAAAGATATAAGATCTGGCCAAAAAAAAGGGGGAAATTCTATGTAGTTAATGGACAAGACTTTACCTTATATTTGGAAAAGAAATTTGATTTACTCTTCTTAATACTTTAAGGGAGATTTTGTCTGAACCTTGAATGGGTAGAGGACCAGTCAGACAATTTCTTCTTAAAATTAGGACTTCTAAATTCTTATTCAGGCTGTCCAGTTCTGCAAAAAGATCAGTTACTTGAATGTCATAATAAATTTCTTAATTCTGCTCACCTCTTATCTAGTTTTGAAGTTTTTGAAATCAATTCGAAAAATGATAGCATACCGTTACTTGAAATTGGACCATCCATATAATTATCTTGTAACGATAAGAATATTAGTGCCTTTAGGTTGCTCACTGACTTCAGAATGTGCTTGTCGAAATTGTTATGGCTTAAATCTAGGTGCTCCAACTTTATCAACTGGGATAAACTTGCTGTATCTGCAGAAATTCCACTACACATCAAATAAATCAAGATATTAAGGTTAAAACTCATGTTCATGATCTGATCTTCCATATGACCAGTTTCTAAACTTTACTTACTCAAGCAGTGCCTCACTATAAATGAAACAGAGTTATCTTGAAATTGAAATAACTACGTACCTTAGCTTTATTACTTGTTTATGATTTATTCCAAATGTTGAGAAATACCATAATTGGAGAATTAGACTACAGTGGATAGGGATTAAAGAAGAAACATGTATTGTAGTGTCGAATGTTGTGTACCAATTGAATGCTAAACGTCTAAATTTATTCACCTTGCAATGAGAGGTTAACCTCAAACCAGTTATGACTTAAATCCAATATTTCCAAGTTCCACAAAGCCGATAGATCTGCAATCAATAAAGAATAAAAGATCAGAAGAAAACTTTTCTCTGACATTTAATTTAAGTCAATCCTACGCTCAATATCTTATGGATATCAAGTGGTTATAGTCAATTCTCCCATGATATTAGTGATATACACACGGAGCATTGAATTGACTTAAATTAAATGTCATGATTTATTTGTCAAATAAGTATGTTAAATTTATGAGTGGGAGGATCTGTCCCGTTATATAAAATGCCAATTATCATGCATGATTAATATATTCTAATACAAATTTACGTGCCCTGTACAGGAAGAAGCCCTTCAAAATTATTGTCACTGAGGTTCAAAAACTTCAACGGCTTGAGTGCGCCAAGAGACTTGAAGATACTGTTGTTCAACTCATTAAAAGCAAGGTTTAACTTCTCTAATCTCTTCAAATGGACCAATTTTATAAAACCTGCTTAGAATGCACTGATTGATTTCATCAATAGTGTATTGATCTTCTACTAAAGTTATAAGTAAACTAACTGTACATAAGACGGAGTTTATCACATAATAAAAACTTAACCTCTGATTATAAATAAGTTTTATTCGAATACCAGGCTAATAAATTACCTCCAGTACTAGCAGAACTCCACAATTTATTTCCGGACAAATCAAGAATTCTTAATTCTTTAAAAGGGGAAAATAAGGAGACATTAAGAAAATAAGGGAGATCGAGAGGTTTTAAAATACGTAAATTGTTAAGATCGAGCTCGATCACTCTGCCTGTAGTTCGATCACAGGTGACTCTCACCCAGTTGCAGCAGTTACTCTCTTTTCCATGAATCCAAGAAAGAAGCGAATTGTCTGCTTCACCATTCATCAATCGAAAATATGTCTTAATTTCCAGAAGACCCCTTCTCTCCTCCTTAATACAACCTTGAAATCCATTGATTTGTAATAAAATTGTAAAAGCCAACAATAAGCAGTTCATTGGCTGCGAGAGAGAGAAGAAAAACCAGAGGGAAAACGTGAAGCCAGAAAGGAAAGAATGAAAATCTGCCTTCTCCATCACATGGGTAGAGTCTTTATAACAAGGCCTAAGGCTCACAATTCACAAGAGAAGACATAAGAATTGGCCAGTAGGAGCACTTTCCACTTTCAGAAACATATTTGGGGTTTTAGAAAACACCCTTTCAATAACTTTCTAAAACTGCATCAATATTATCTGATCTTGAAGTCATTGGTCAAGTCTTCTAGCCTTGTGAACACCCCTACCCCCCACTTTAGAGTAATTGCTCAAGTCAATGGTCAGATCCTAGAGTTTCAAGCGTGTCGAACCAACCCAAGTCAGCCCATACATGTACCGTTTAACCTGAAGTTGTTGTTGACTTATGGATGGTACAGCAGTAAATGACGTTACTACCTTCACAACCACAAGCCAATTGAAAGTGCGGATAAGTGCAATGATGTGAGGGATGTTTTGGTCATTTTCCGTGGCTGTTGGAGGGCGTTTCTGTCCATTAAAAAAGGGTCCATTAATTACCATGGTTGGCACTGGGAAATCTTCATAAACGTTGCAGAGCTGGGGCCCACTTTGGTCAACAAAAGTGGGTTGAAAATGGCTAAGAAAAAAATAATGTGTTTTAATGCCAAACACGCGCCCTCTTTTTCTATACGATAATTCAAATTGAGTCAAATTTTTGGCAATTTACTTCTTCCGTTTCATATTATATTTCAGTGTATTGTTGGGATTTTGCTATTTTTGATAATTTTTTCATAATTTCATATTTTGCTGCTATTTAACCCGACTTGTGAGTTAATTTTTGTCAATTCTACATTATTAATAAAAATTTCAGTTAAATTTAAGAGAATTCTCTCTATTTTGGGCGTTTACTTTTGTTCTCTTGTGTGTGAATCATTAGTCGCAACACGCCTATAGGATAATTGCTATCCTACCGGGCATCACGTATCCTTTATCATTCCCACCTCACCTTTCCACACCCGTGGCCATGTTCTATATGAAAAAATTAGTTGAAGAGACGATGGTGTCTTATGTATCATTTTGAATTAAGTCATTAATAAGTATATTTTATGCGCTTATTCGAATTTTGATTATTATTTATCATTTTATATGTGTGTGTGTGTGTGATTTCATGACTGAGTTAGGGTTGAACAAGTTTGGATGAAATTAAATCAAAGCAGTACAAAATTGCGGAATTGTGGGTCAAATAATCAAGGCTTGAAGTTGAGGACCTATCATGCGAATAAAGAGGATATGAGATGCATAAAAATTAAATATGGAGGACCAAAATGCACAAAATTTGAAGAAAATTCCAGCTTTAGATGATTTGCTTATTACACTCAAATTCCACGTTAGAGATGCAATACGATTCCTTTTTAGAGTTATTATGGATTTCTATATGTAGTTTTAATCATTCTTTTTATGGGACACACATTTTACAGAGACAAACATAAACAAAATCAAGATCAAAGAGTGAAAAATTAGGACTCGCAAGATTTTGGAATTGAAGAAGAAGATTCTTGGTACAAGATTCAATTCATTCTATAATCAAGGTTTAAAAAATTGATTAAAAACTCTATTCTCTTTTATTCTTTTTCTTTCATTAGTAAGAGTTAGCAATCATTAGTTAAGGCAAACAATATAATTTATCTGTGACCTGTTTTAATTCTCAAGATTTTAGTAATTTAATTAATGTGTGTTAATTTTATCTATGTTATTTAAAGCTTTGGATTACTTGGTCAATAATTTGATGATTTGTGAATCTATAACGAATCGAGAGGTATATTATAGATTTAGATCACATAATAAAATTCAATAAATAGTATAAAAGTCAAGAGATACATTTTCTAGTTTATGCAGTCGTTACATTGTTTCTTAGAGATTTAATGCAATATTAAAGTGTATCTGAATTCACATTGACTTAGTTAAATGGAATCAATTTAAACTCGAGAGAGGTAAATTGAATACATTGAAAGACTTCGACCGAACACTACAATAGGTAAAGAATCTTGATTAGCTAATTAAAGTGGGTCCATAGATGAAATTTTAAATCCTAACATCCACATTCACACATCGTGTATTACTAGCTCTATCATATTTTTAACCTCTCAAATTAGATATACTTAAGCTATGTCTGGAGAATAATTGATCAATTCCAGTCTTAAATAAAACAATTGCGATACTCCAAACATGTGTGACACCAATAAGATGTTCCAATACACGGCCATTCTTCACATAACGAATAACAACTAACATTTACTTTTTTACTGAAACGTCTCGTGATTCATCCACTGAAATTTCAAACAAACCATCACCAATATCATTGATAATCACATTTAGAGTTTTATTAAGCAATAGCACTTACAATAGCTTTTTGAACTCGTTGTGCTGTTAATTTGAAATTTTTAGGTGCATTCGTTAAAGCAATAGCCTCAATCTCAACATTATGATCACACAACCAATACAATAGTGCAAGAAAGTTCCCTATATTTTTTGAATCTTTACATTCATGTGACATGGTCTATCATTGGTGTTGGGACTATAAGGCAAACAAGCACGAGAAACTGGGATCAAAAGAAGATGCCAACTCCAACATGGACAAGTTCAGAGTTCCCTCTTCTTCAATATACAAAATGAGTATTCATTTCAGTAAATGTTTTGAAGCTTTAATATTGGCCACAACTTGCATGTAGAACAACATACGTGGTTCTCTTTATGATTAAGCTTATTCACCATAACTATGGAGAAGTTGAGAAAGGGGATAAGGATAAGAGGAACCTGAAATTAGCTCTAATTATATTCTATTCGCTGGCCCCAGCAGAGGCATTGCTCTTTCTTTTAGAGAATGCCTACCGGAACGCGAGCATCCTGGGCCGGGGTTACTGGATGAGGTGAACAAGAAGTGCAATTTGGGACAATCAGGGAAAGATTTGATCAAAATATTCTTCTACAATGTCTATTCAAAATTTGTTGATGGAAGCATTTTTTATTGTGTAAAATGGACAATAATTCCCATGATGAGTGACTTATTGGGTCCAGATGCTCAAGGAAATTTGCCCAGAGAAAGTTGTTTTCTGATGATACCCACTAAAGATTGGAATAAAGTACTCAGTAGTGGAAAAGATGGTGCAAATGTTGAATTGGAAAGACCATTAAGAAGAAGAGATTAGGTATTCAACAGTAAAAATCTTGTCAAAACTGGCTGGAAATGAGCAAATCTTACAAGTTACAGTGGATTTGGGCTTTTTTACCATTAAAAAATAAAGAAACAATTTTTAGAAAATTGGTGGGTCACATGACCCTTCATGGGTCCGCCCCTTGCATCTGGCTAGGTCTTGTCGGTATCGAAATAATAATTAAAACAACTAATTTTATTGATTTATTATTATTATTTTTTTAAATCAGTGGCTCTTGGCTCAGAGAATGTCCGAGGTGTAGGGGAGATCAAAGTAAGAAGTAATGTCTAGATGATGTTTTTATTCATGGGCAACCTTTTGTCCCTTAGATGGGTTATATGTTAAGGGATCTAGATTTGCAACAGAGAACGTGACAACAAGCAAGTGTACATTTGTTCTTCTCCACCAAGTATGGAAGTTTAGTGGAAAGTACTGCAGGTCAATAGTTACCTAACGAAACTTCGATTCGATCAACCCCACTACTGGGAGGCATCTACCTTGTCTCACTCAAAATGTGAGGTTCTTTATGATAGGAGTACCCTTTTTTTTTCCTTTCCAAAATAATAAATGCATAAGGGACCATCCATTCGTTGTGAGATGCTTCTCAAATTTACAGATTCACACGGGGACCTAGGCTTTTCTTAGTCGATTGATAGACAAAGGCTTGTGAAACTAATTACAGTCTTTTTCTTTTTTAAATAATCAATTCCCGTTATCATTATAAGTGTTGTTTTTGGGATTTGCGTATTCCCTTGTTAGAATCCCTATGAGGTACAAATGGATTGGGTAGGCTGTAAAGACATACAACCTTGGCACGAGCGACATTCTGCAAAACATAAGACAAAAGTGCACTTCTTAACTGATCAAGAGTCGTATCCACTCTTTATTTTAAATTTTACTTATAAAGAGTTTGTTTAAAAAGAGGTTTGACTTTCTAAAGCAGTGTTCTAAAAATTATAAAGCATAGACACGAAGGCCAAGCTTCACGCTTAAAAAAGAATTATTTATTTTTATTATTATTTTTAATAGTTAATCATTTTAAAAATCATTTCATAATATATACTAAACATCTAAAATTAATAAATAATATATTTACTTAATAATTTTTAGAATAAGTCAATTACACAATTTTCATGTTTTCAAAATGGAAAAGCTAAACTAATTTGTATTTTTCATAATTTCAATTTTCAATTAGAAAAGTTCTACTTAATAGATTTATAGGAATTTTATACGTACTTTGAAGTTTTCAAAAATACGATAAGTCTCAAAATCATAATTACGTAATATATATAGTACCTTAGCTTAAATCTTATCTAAGTCTTTATCACATAAAATTATTTTGACTTTATACAAACTTGAACAAATAAAAGCCTTTTACAAAAATAATAAAATCAATATACTAAAGTCAAATAATTTTTTTTAAAAATTAAAAATAATTAATAAAGCGTGCCTATTCGAACGTTAAGTTCATGCTCACTGAATGCTTTATCCACATCGCTTAAGTGCGCTTTTTAGAGCACTGCTCTAGAATAAATACAATGAAGCTTATGAAGAAATTCTTTGGAGATATTCTAACACTAATGGCATGGGCGGACCTATATGGGTTCAAGCAACCCCACAAAAAAAATTTTGGTTGTTTTTTTTTTTTCCTTCAATAAATCTATAGTTATTTTGAGCCCTTTACAGCAAGATACAACTTTTCTCAAATTTATATATTATGTGAAAAAATCTGTAATTGCCCTTTATGGCTTACTTTGATGTATTTATTACAGGATGCCAAATAAAATCAAAATATTGCATTTTTAATACTATTTTGAAGTGCTCGCAGCCTAATTTTTTGCTTGTTAATGGTGTGCGAAATGGCCAACCGTAGCAAAAGTTACGGTGCATCAAAATATGCCGTTCTAAATTAGTATTTCGAAAATTTAGAGACTATGCTAACTTTAATAAATCATTGACGATCGTACGTTAGAAAAATTCACAAATCCCCCACGTCATCTAGAAGCTTGTTTTGAGAACCGTATCGTAGTCATATCGAATGGTCCAAATAAACATCGAAAACAGTTAAACATGCGTCAAACGTACGTATCAAAAAAAGACGTCAAATTCATCTTTTCTTTAAAAAAATTCAATTATTGTGTTTATTATTTTTTGCATGATAAATTTCTCAATATAATTTACATAACTATATTAAAAAAATTTACATGGAATACGGCGTCAAAATTTTAGGATCACTATGGATCAATCCAAGAGGTATACTAAAAGTTTTTGGATGTTTTTTTAATTCAAGAATTGCTACATAAATGAAACGATTGTTCAATAGTATAAGAATTGCTACATACATGAATCGATTAGTGCAAATCATTAACTATCACATGTATATTATGTAGGACGACTGTGATAATGAATGACTGCAAATAGAATTACTTACAGCATAACTATAGAGGTTTTTTTTTTTTTTTTTGGTAGATGCTGCATTATTATTGTAATGCCCCAAATTTTATTGACTTAAATTTTGGGGTGTTATCGATATCACTCCATAAACATACTTGATGCGGAAATATT